TTTTAATATATTTTATATTATATAATATTACTAACCTGCCTATAAACTTATATTTTTAAATTTACTATTAAAATAGCTATAAAAAACTTTATAAAAATATTTAAAAAAGTAATATTAAATATATTATCCTTATAAGCCTTATTTACTTTATATATAATACCTATATATATTTCTGTAAAGATTAATAATATAAGAAGTCGGTTCTTCAGCGGGCAAGAAACACGCTGCTAAATAACGAGGGAAGCTGAGGGCAAGGCCTACTTGAAGTTCGCGACGTTGGCCGTCAAGTTCGTCGAGCTCGCGATTCCGGGCATGTTTGTACCCCCATCTTCCACTCCCCCCGACCTATCGGAACACCCAGAGATCGCAGAAGCTGTCGCGTTCGCTACCAAGAACTGTTCTCTTGACATAGTGGACCTGTACTTCAAGGAACCGGCTGTCAAAGATGCCATTCTTCGGTTCGTTACAGAGGTACAGCTGGCACACCCGAAAACCCCTGGGACAGGCCTGATGGCTTACATGGCCATTGGCCTCTTGCACAAGTACGGGCTGGCTGTACCTCAAGGAGGCGGTTCAGCGTTTACCGCAGCCGTTATTCGCTCCATAGAGGCCCATGGAGGTGAAGTACGCCCGAACACAGAAGTCATCAAGATTATAACAGAACATGGCCGCGCAGTCGGTGTCCGCACAAGAGCCGGCGAGATTCGTGCCCGAGAAGCAGTAATCGCCCAGATCCACTTTCACATTCTAGACAGGCTCATAGATGGGCTAGACCCGGAAGTCATCTCTGCAGCAAAGAAGACAAAACTTTCCGAGTACACTCTTTTTGTTGTACATGCAGCAATGGAAAAGCCGCTCAAGTTCCGGGCTGGCGGTATCGCCAACGAAGTAGTCGTGAATACTATCTGCCCGGGGAGTGTTGAATCTGTTATCCAAAGCTACGGGGGGAATAAGGTTGTAGGTAGTTTAAAGAGGCTTCAGCCTCCAGCGCACAAAGGTAAAGAACACCAATAAACACATACGGGCAATCCAAAGCTACAACGAGGTTGATCAGGGCAAGATACCTGAGAACTTACTCATAGGGGCTTCCATCATCACCAATGCTGATCCCACGAGAGCTCCGCCAGGAAAGTCGCTTCTTCATGCTATAGTCATGCTCCGCGCTGACAACTGTGAGGTTGGCTTCTACGGGTGGGACAAGATCAAGGACAAAGTCACATACAATATTTTCCAGTACTTATCCAAGTATGTTGAGGACTTGAGCCCCGATCAAATTCGGGGTTATCACGCGGTTACACCTTTTGACCATGAAAGTGATACGCCCTGCTTCCAGCATGGCGATATTTGTGGCCTCTCAATGGCTGCAGATCAAATGGGCGCTGCTCGTCCTGCACCCGCTTTGGCCCAATATCGCGTTCCTGGTATTAAGGGTCTTTACCTCGCTGGCCCTTTTATGCACCCAGGAGGTGGCGTTTGGGGAGGTGGGCGTCCTGTGGCAATCCGTGTATTGGAGGATATGGGTATAGAGTTTGATAGTGTAGTTAACTAGAAGATTGACTTGAATGGATTTTACTGCTATATGAATTTTTCAATCCAGACCTATTTATGTCAATAAGACTCGGCCGTGTAAGAAGCCCGCATCCCCTTTTGCCAAATGGCCCCCATTTGACAATGCGCGGCACCTTGTCATCTATTTCCGAATGGAAGATGTCTGCACGTATCTTGGCTCTGTCACCAAGTGTGGCGATGTGATCTTGACCCAAGCTGCGAGAGCGTGGGTGCTTCTCGTGCCCAGCGAGAAGCTGAACGCTTCTGGGTTCTGCTGGAAGAGCTTGTGGCTTGAGCGTGTCGCGCAGCACGACATCGTCCGACAACGACAGGGCTTTGTAAGACAATACAACTCCAGACTGTGGATGTCATCGTCGCTGGCCTTTTTTCCGCACCCAACTGTCGCTGACCTCACTCGTATTCCGGAGCTCGAATGGCCCTGGCGGGGAAATCGCAGCACATGGCGCGCGGCTTGGGGTTAGTTCCATTTCTTCCGCCAAATAGCTATTATCCCCGCTTACAAAGCATTTCGGAAACGTGGAGAGATCATACCGAAAAGCTGCTGAGATTCTGGGTCTCCTACCCATGAATTTGCAACAGTGGACTGTAGCCCACCCCTTTTTGTTGCTTGATTGCGAGCCTGCTCTTTGCTTTTATATCCCGATGTTCGTACAGCTCTAGAGCTAAGATGGAGCAATTGGATACCTACAACATCTTACGAAAAACTATCATGCCGCCAAAGCCTAGCAAAGCACTCTACGTAGGAGGATGGTTGATTCACTGTTTGAAATGACCTTGACCATGAATCACTTGCGCCAAACGAGCTGCTAATAGAGACGCGCTATTCCGGAGCCAATCCAGCGGACATTAAGCACTTCACATATCTTGGTATCCAGGCGACAGTGCTCGGCTATGACTTCGCTGGCCGAGTTCTTAAGGATTCCCCCGGTTCTAAGTTCGAGGAAGGCAATGCCGTTGCAGGATACATGCCGATAAGCATAGCGCAATCGAGGAAATACGGTACCTATCAAAGCTTCCTTGCAGCTCCTTGTGACATAGTGTTTAAACTCCCTTCGAACCTGCCAGAGCCTTACGCAGCTGCACTCACTTTAGTGGTGATGACCGCTGCCGACATTGTGCATAACCTGTTCAAGTGCCCCTTGCCTACAAGCCCTGGCGCCTTTTCCGGTCCGAGCCTGATCTAGGGCGCCTCCTCGGCCATGGGACTCTCTACTCTATAGCTGGCGCGAACCAGCGGTTACAGGAACATCTTTGTTACGGCCTCTCTAGCTTGCCACGATCTCCTTAGAAGCCTAGGAGCCACACATACCTTTGACTACTCCTCCTAGACTGTTGTGGCAGAAATAAAATCCGCTGTTGAAGCGCTTGGGGAGGGACCTATTACCTATGCTGTTGATGTAGCTGGCACGATGGGGGAACCGTCCTTAGCAGACCTAACGGCCCAGAGCGCCAGCAAGTTGATAGTGTTCTCTTTGGTTGTACACTGACGTAACAGCAAATTCCTCTTCCCCGTGGCCCTTATGAAAGACGACGTATGTTTTTACCTACCTGGCGCCCTGGAGCTAATTATATATCCTGCTAGGCCAGTGGATCATTGGAATGCCTGGTGCGCGCTGTAATGAGCCGTTGCTAACTACGGTACAAAATTTAAGCTGCTGTCCGTCAGTGTCCTCGATGTGACGGCAGAAGAAGCGCTGAGGGAGCTGGGCAGTGTTGCAAGTAGGAAGCGAGGGTTTGGAAAGGCCGTGTTTTAATATCCCCTTAAATAAATCGATGTAGTTTAATATGAGCCGCCTACTGTGTGCAGTTGTGGTGGTAATTTAACAGATTATAATAAAAAGTGTCGAATTTGGTCCGTGCAGTAACAGTTGCGCTTAACCACTTTGCCATCGGGCGAAATATTGGCTGGCAACTGCCATTAGAGCAATTAAAATGGTACGCAGAACTTCATATATACCAACCGTAAGACTCTTAGTATTGAGGTGGATGGCTATAGTCGCAAATAGGGCTCTGGTGGCAACAGCATGTCAGCGTTTATAGAAAAGGCGATAGGCTTGTCTTCTATGGCAAAATTCTTCCCTGCCGTCTTGCCTGCGTCCCTGGCACGGCGGTCTCTTCGCTGTACTCGGCCTTGCGTAGATGACTTCGGTGGAGGTTGTTTAACGCCAACGGCGCCGTATTTTACTTGCTTGAGATACCATACCCACCGGATAAAGAAGCCTTGTTGAGCGATAACCCAGGTCCTGAATACTAGGGGGTCCGGCTTGCCCTTGATAAGTTTCGTCTCATTCGACAGGCCTGTGTAGCGAATCATACAGCAGTATACACCTAAATGAAGCCCGGAACGGAGATCTCTACGGATACGGCTTGTATATGATCAGACGACTCATCAGCAGCTTGAAATACCGTCGGAATAGGTGGGGTCTCACCATTCTTGGTTTGGTCGAAGGGACGAAGGTGCCGGTGGATAAGGTGAAACTTCCGATACGGCCCTGTCTGTGGTGTCGGCATGGCCGAGGTCATCTGGGTAGAGGTGCGGAATTGGATTGTCGGAACTGAGGAGACGAAATAAGAGAAATCATAGCGTAGTGTCATCTCCCCAAAGTGGCAAAGTCAGAAGTAAAGCTCACCATCCCCACAAACTTCGGGATCGGCTCCACGCAGCATCTGAATTATGCGGACTGCTACCCCAAATCTTATTTCGATGGGCGGGGTAAGTCTGGGGAAGAGCTTATTCATCCACTTTTTCGTATTATCTATCCTCGCATCTTCTACCCCAGTAGCTTTGTACTAGCGCAACACCGATCATACTATACCCCTTCAGCTGCTGGTAATCAAAGACGGATGCGTCAGGATTGTGATCTTATATTATGTTAACCTGACCCCCTTCCCTTCAATAATGTCTCAAGCATTCAATCTCACAACCTTCGACCGACATGGCTTCCCCATCTTCCATTGTTGCTCTCTCAGAGCAAAGACCACCCGGAATCCACGCAAAAACCATGATATGCTATTCGGTTAGTCTCCCTGCTCCTTCAGCTCAGCAAACCTAACGATGCAGGCCGTTAACTTAATCTACTTTGCACAGCTTGTTTCACTCGTCGGCTCTGGCTTTTTAGCAAATGACATGGGCCGAGCTGTAGGCGACACCAAGTCAACCGTCTGGTAAACATCGTGTATTACTATCCTTAGTGCTGTCTTAAATCCACCTATTGGCCAGGCTGCTAACTACTAGGGTTGTAAGACTATCCTTGTCTTTCTGCCGCTTACCGGTGTCGCTGGCAGTGTTATTATCTCTCGGGCCTATAACTCTAGTACGATTATCGCTGGATTCGCTATCTTGGGTGCCAATTACGGCTACCAATCCCTTTCCCTCACCGTCATGTCTGAGATTCTCCCGCGAGATGATACGCCAATGGCTCAAGCAGTTGGAAACATTTCGTCTGGCATCGGAGCCATACTTGCAATATTTATGGGTGCTAGACTTTTACAAGATCGCAACATCAACAACTATCGTATCTTCTAGTACATAACAGCCGGTATCTACGCCATTGCATCCCTAGGTTGCTTTGTTTGTTACAGTCCGCTACCGAGAGAGCTACAGGTAGATAAGTTCTGTCCGCTGATTTAAGCTCTCAGCCACAAGTCCCAACTGCAAATAACACATCTAGCTGACAACTTAGACAGGTAACTCTCACTACATCCCAAAAGCTCAAGAGACTCGACTGGGGAGGATAGGCCTTACTCGGCCCAGCTCTTATTCTGTTCTGCATCGCCCTTTCTTGGTCTCAGAATCCATACTCTTAAGATAGCGTTAATATCCTTGCCCCTTTCCTTATTAGTACTATTTTCTTAATCTTCTTTATTATATATGAGCTGCGCTTCAAGAGAGACGGCATGCTTAACCTAGGTCAACATAGAAACTTTGCAATTACTATGTTCATTATTTTCGTCAAAGGTATTACATTTATAGCTGCCAATTCCTACTTTGCCTTCCATGTATCCTTCATTTACGATACTAGCCTTCTTTCAGCTGGTGGAAACTTTGCCCTTATGTTCGTCGTAACTTCTATCTTTTCCCCTCTATTTTGATTATAGTATTCTAAGCGCAAGGCTCTCCAAATACCGCTTATCATTGGCGCCCTCCTACTTTCGTCTTCTTCATTTTACTAGCAACATCAACTATCGATACTCCACGCTACGCCTTCTGGGTTTACATAATAGTAGGAGGTAATGGGCTTGGTTCCCTGCTGCCCTTGTCGATGGCTGCTTCTCAGTTCGCGACTCCCACAGAGTTAATCGCACTTACATCTTCTATGATGATTTGCGTCAGAAGTTTGGGAGGGTCAATTGGCCTGGCAATCAATAATGCCGTTCTCCACAGCGCTTTGGATAAGGAACTACCAAAGGTCGTTGCAGCAGCACTGCCCTTAGGATTACCAGCATCATCTCTGGGTGATCTGATCCAAGCCTTAGCGTCACAAAATAAACAGGCAATTGCTACTGTACCTGGCATCACGCTTCAGATAGCCGAGGCAGTGGTCAGGGGAATGAAAAGAGCATATGTGGTTGCTTTCAGGAACAGCTGGATCGTATCCGCCGCTTTCAGCGCTCTTCTGGTCATAAGTAAGTTACCTTCCCAACTTGGATCAACAGTATCTGACGTCAAACAGCATGTCTATTCATCAAGGAGCAAGCAGAAGCCTTTGACAAGCGTATCGATGCACCTGTCGAAAGTGGTTCTCAAGGCTTCTATGATGAAGAAAAGAATCGTGAAGCAACTGTACAAGTGAGCCATGGAGAGAATGTTTAGCGTGAAATGTATCTGGTGGACAGTAGACTCAGTTGTCTAGCGACCCCTGGGACGAGTGGATTTAGTATTTGACGAGAACGAGGATTCGTATATGTAGATGAAATTGTCATCCATTCAATTACCCTGACTATGGCTTGTGATACAAGACCTGAAGTGACTCAGTCAAGATTGAAGCTAATAATGCACCTTGTTTCACATTGACCGCATATAATTCCATATAATGCACACCATATGAAAGGTATGGCCTGCTTGATGATATCCCTTCTACCCCTGGCGTACCTAATGTGACCAGAGAGATCCACAGTATAGATAGATAGTTCAAGGCTGCCGCTTTACTTTCTCGGAACATCCCACTCGCCACCAAGTATGTACATGACATGCGGTTAATGACTATTCCCATTAGTTACATGGTCCCTTAACTGTGAGCGCTTTTTTATCCTCCTTCGCTACGCTAATCAGTTAATGCACCGCTAACATCAATCCTCACAGGACCACTCACTCCCCCAGCCACACTCGATCCACGATCGACGTATGTGATTGTAGTTCTTGTAGTCATCTGCGTATAAATAGCTTAGGGATTCATTCATCAATCCGGATATTCATCAATACGCAGTATCAATACTTCAAGAATGGTAGGTTTGGCAGTTCCCAGCACCAATAGTGGCGCTTTGCCACAGCAACAGAACACGGCGATCGCTCTCAACTTCACGTCTGTCTACCTACTCAACCTGCGCACACCCAGTGTTCATAACTTAATCGCCTATCACCAGTGCCGATGGAACTACATATTGCATAACGACATCAAGGATGTAGGTCTCGGTACGAACAGGTTTGGGAGTCCTTATCATGCCATTTAGTTAGATTTTGAGTACCTGTTCGACAAGAAATGATTTACTTGAAAGCCGAATATGTTTGTAGACCTAATTAGCGTGGGAAAGTAGCCCGACGGGCTTAGCCATAAGCTCGTCGTTACCATCGACGCCGACTTCAACAACAGGAATGGCTAAAAGATTGTGTCGGAGCGTAAGGACAATTACTTAGCTGTTCGTACTAGAGACGGGGACATCATCAAAGGTCGCTGCTGGCCAGGCGCATCGCACCGCATTGACTGCTTCAACTCTGCTTCCTTCGAGCGGTGGAACGGTCTCTTCGACTATACTGCTTTCAAGGGCTCTGTGGAGGACACCTTTGACTGGAACGATATAAGCGACCCATCTGTGTTTATCAGTCCGGAGATTAATATGCCAAAGGATAGCTTGTATCTTGATTCATTTACCCTCTTTAAGTATCTTATAACCTTAAGCAGGGCCATAGGTTGACCGACTATCTCCGATCACCCTCCAGAAATCTTGGACAAACTCCCTCTGGCCACGCATTGACGGCCTGACAGCAAGATATCGTCTATTGTCCAAAGGCGGGTTCATGTTGCCGGGATGTCCATCCACCATAATACCCCCAGCCTCCAACAAAATACACCAAGCAGCTGCTACGTCCCATGCCCAGCAGCCACATTCCCAGAATGCATCCTGCTGCCCTGCGGCAACACGGCAAATTGCGATAGCTGCCGAGCCAATGAAACGGAGAGAATTAACAAAGCGCCCTCCTGTGGCGACTGTCCTGGCCAAGGTTGTGAATACCTTCAGGTTCAAATCAAAGTTGGGACCTTCTCGGTCGCTGCCCCATTCTAAACCAATGCTTGCTGTTTGCAGACTCTCTAGAGGTGGTGACCTCAACGGCAATCTCGTTGGTGATCCGCTGCCTTGTGTGACGAATGCTCCTCCGCCTCGCACAGCGGTCCAAAGCTCGTCCTGGAACGGGCTGTAAACAACTCCAATAGTAGGTTGTCTATCAATCACGAGGGCTATAGACACGCAAACAGCGGGAAACCCATGTACGAAGTTAGACGTGCCATCAATTGGATCCACAATGAATGTTGGTTCGTGGGTGAGTGTGTCTCCGTTTTTATAAGTCTCTTCGCCGATGAAGGCGAACGTGGGGAAGTGTTCTTGAAGCGTTTGGTGGATGAATTTCTCCACAGCTTGGTCTGTTTCAGTCACGATATCTACAGCTAGGGGAATGTTAGCAAAATAGCTAAGAGAGGTATGCGAAGAAATGCTGACTGTTTCTCTTCATAGATGTTGTTGACAATGTTGGTTGTGCGGCAGTGATCATTTTGCCAGCCTCCTTTGCAACGTCGATTAAAAGAATAGAGATATTTTGCAAATTATAATTCGTCATTTTGACCGAGAAATGAAATCTCTGACTTGAGAATTTTCAGGCAATCTCGTTTAATACTAACAAGAGGTAAAGAAGCCACAGCACAGAAATAAAGCAAGACAAGAATAAATACTATTAGTATTAGTACTTCCCCGAGAGTATCACGTAAAGCTCCGTTTGAGTTTCACTGGTACGAGTCTTGTTCTCGTTTGACCATTTTGCATTTAGCCGTTCGGCACGAGATAAGAAAATTCGGCTAGAGATACTCGGCAGTTGTCCTTCGTATTCTAATAGGAGCTAATTACAATTAGCCAACATTAACTATCTGCTTTACACTAGTTAGGGAATAGCATAGAGAAAATGCGGCATTTTAGCATCTATACGGATACCAGTCTTTCCTTATCTATGATTCAAACCAAAGAGCGCAATGCCAGTAAAACATGGAATACAACAGCCGCAGCAATACCGTGGCCGACTGCGAACTGGGTGTCTGACTTGTCGATCTCGAAAGGTTCGATGCGACGAAACCAAGCCGACCTGCCGTAACTGCGCAAAAGGACAGCGCTGTTGCGTGTACAAGGCGAAACAAACCGAGAAACAAGTCGCAACGAATACCAGTCGATCGTCGCCTGCCAAAGACAAAGAAACGGTCCAAGTGGCAGTCGGTTCGGGTGGAATTGCTGTACTTCAGCGCACTCCGTCTTCTGACTATAGCGGAAGCAGTACGTCCAACTCGGTCTGTTTGCCAGACACAGATGGTCGAGATGCCCTCTGTCATTCAAATGACTGGTTACTGGATGTACCCCTGGGGATCGAGAATAAGTTCGAAACACAATGCGAAGGTTCACTTTACACTGCCGATGAGCAAGCAGAAACGGACTCGCCGTCGAGCCTCATATCGCGTGATATCCAGTTGACCACAACTATGGATCTTCTAAGGGCGCAACATGAGTATTTGCAATCCTCAACAGTTTTTGTCGACTTTGTTGAGTGCCCTGGAATCACACCGTTTGATAGGATCAATTGGCAACGTGCGAAATACCTTATCGTCTACAATTACAAGTCTTGTCAAGCTGTCACCCGAGCTATCACCGCTATCTCCACGCTATATCACAGCATGAAGTATAATCTATCCCCGACAAGAGCTGTAGACCACTTCCGTTGTGCCAGGGACTTGCTTGACGAACTCTTGGGTGACAGTTCTCAAGATTTCGGCACAGCGCTCGTATGCATATTCCTTCTATGCGTGTTTCAGCTCATCTTTTCAGATGAGACCGTCGCTGTCTATAAATTCCAAACCCAAACCTTGCTCCAGAGGCTGGGGTCATGGGCGCAATGCCCTTTTTCACATTCACCGTTATCCAAACGTCTGAATGCGTGGCTTAAGATCATACAAGCTATTACCATGCGAGGGGGCGGAGGAGGGTTGTTATCGGAAGCTTTCTACGAGCTGTTGCCAAATTATGAAGGGGCACTTCCCTTCCTTGAGATAATGCCAGAACACGAGCGGGACGTGTCGACTGAACTACATGAGGTCTTGGGTGCTCCACTGTTTGACTTTTACTTGCAATTACAGATTCTCTCCGGAAGAATCGCAAAAGAGACACATTATCATCGCTCGCGTAAGTCTGGGAGCGACCAGGATGAGGTCGTCGGTAGCATAACCCGAATTAGATCACAACTGCAGGCTTTGTGGGAGAGCCGATCGATGATGCAGCGTCAAACAGCCAAACAAATCCGTTCTCAATTGGCGCCGAGCATTGCAAACTCCATCATAGGTCTTATTCGTATATGCAACGCCGCTTATTTTGCAGAATATGTTGAGATAGACCGAGTCCTCGGGGATCCATTGACAAAATGGACTGGCTCCAGAGAGGCAATACAGACCATCAAGGAAATAGTGGATGACGACTGGGAAGAAAACGACATAGCTGACGGCAAAGAGCTCAATTCAGGATATCTACGTGCCCTCTTTCTGTGCGCGATTGAATGCATGGACCAAGAGCAGAGCCAGTGGGCTATTCGGAGAATTAGAGGGATAAGAAGCGCAACATATCGCACTGAGTTCTTTGCTGAATTTGCTGGGGCGCTTTCAGAAGCCCAGATGGAGAGGGAGAGGCGGGTGACATCTAAGTACTTTTGTATTTGGTATTTTGGAGGGCCGCCCCCATTCTTATGAGATACTGGATGTGCGTGTTTTCATTCTATTATGTATTTTACTGAATCTGAATACTGGTAGGAATACGTCTTCGTCTTCAATCTTTGTTTTAAATACATAATAATCCCTTGTCCTCCATATTTCCTATGAAATAACTCACAGTAGCACCACCATGAACACAACTAAACTAATCATGTATTCCTTATCTGTTTCTCCTGTTCCCTTTCCTCTTTGGATGTAACAGCCTCTACCAGATCGACGGGCGTCTTAGAAAAACAACGCAGGCTCACCTTGCGGTCAAATAAAATATCCACCTCAGCTGCTGTACGGTCTTTTGTTTCTGGAACACAGAAAAAAGCGAATATGAAAGAAATGAGACAGCCACCTGCCCAAAAGAAGCCTGTCTTAGCTCCCCAGTTCCATGCAGTCGGATTAAGTTGATATGGCGTAAGAACGCCTGCGGTGATTGAGGTGACTGTATAGAACCATCTGGAAAGCACTAACGTCCTACTGCAAAGAATTGTCGACGGAACCTCAGAGCAAATCGTATTTGTCAGAGGACCAATAGTCGCGTTATAAAGGAACGAGGATACGATTAGGAGGGCAGCAATGGCCCATGAATATGCAAGGTTCGAGGAGTGAGCCTGTGGGATGCCGACACCCCCAATGAGCGTCATCAGAATTAACATTGAGAAAATACTCATGAGATAGATGAACTCACCGACACAAGTCCACCGATTAAAGCTAAAGAATAGTTTATGATCGTCATATTGGACGCTTGAGCTGTTGGGAAGCCAGCCTGTTCCATGAAATAAGTCGAGTAGCTCCGTAGACTGTTACCGCTCAAAGTTTGAATGCAGTAAACACCAATTCCAATCAGTGTCCTTTTTAGATCGGTTCCCTGAAAACAAGCTAGGTATGATGTCTCGGCACTAATGGTCCTCTCGTAGTTGGTAGTCACCACCATAAGAGATATGTGCTTGTCGATGTCGAAGCTCACATGCTCCGCAGAGGTGAGTCGCTCCAGTACCTTTTTTGCTTCTTCCATTCTTCCTTTGCGGACAAGCCACCACGGAGATTCGGGTGCGAAATATAGAGTCGGGACGAGGATAACAGGCCAAATCCATCTATCCTATCGTCAGGCTTTGTGCAATATGAGAATAAAACTCAGCGCTCGTCACTTACTGTATGGCAAATGGGATCCTATATCCCCACTCATCTCCACGCACGAGAATACCTCGAAGAATGCCGGCACCGATGAGATGACCGATTGCCTATACTTCTTCAGTTTTGTTGTATTACAAGCCACATATTCAGATAAACCATACCCAGCAAGTGTTCACCCAAGTCGTCAAATACGCTTGGAGACGAACAGGGGATATTTCTACAGCGTATACGACAGGAATCGTTTGGTAGAGGCCCATGAAAACACCTGGGATTTTCTCATTAGCTTCGGTTCTGTTTGTCATGGGTTTGTTGAACTAACCAAATAGAATCTGACCAACTTCAAGGACAGCAAGACTGGGGGCGAAAAAGGGGATGAATATGAATGCAGCGCTGGCAGTCAAGCCCCAGATCATCGTTTTGCGGAAGCCAAACCTCTCACTAACATACCCAGACACTAGGAGACCAACCAATTGGCCACAGGCACTACCATTGCTAAGACCAGCCTGCCAAGGAGCCGAAATCTGATAGTTGTCGCCCTTGATATGGTGCCCATAACGCTTGCGGAAGGCTGGTAAGCCGTACATATTACCTAGGAGCATGGTATCATAGCCCTCCATGAAGATAGCAGTGGACATAACAAGGGCCCAGAAGACAGACTTGCGATACAGCTTCAGGGCATTGAAGAACTTGAGGTTGTGCTCTTGGGCATTGGCGTCTTGTGCGTCGGCGATCCATTCAAGCTGAGTGGTCTTGGGGCCATCACCGTTTTTGGACATTTTGTTGGATTCAGACATGGTTTTTTGTTGCTTGCGTGTGTAGTGCGAATTGTCGTGACTTGGTCTTGATGCACGCAAGTTGGCAATGTTAGAATCGAGGTCATTATATATAGTAGGGACAGCTGCTGCATAGACATGTAATAGTTAGTAGTCAAGCGAGCCGAATTGGTTCACGGATAAACTTAGGAGTAGGCTAACCAGCTACTTGGGTGGGAAATTCCAACAACCAATTATACCCATTACCTTTTCCCCGTGGGCAGAAATCTAAGGATCTGTCCAAATTAAATTTGCGCCAATCTGTTACTTTTGTCTGTTGGAGCCATTATCTCGAGCCGAATCTTATCTCTAGGCGAATACGAGAGAACAAGGATTGGCAGTAGCTTACACACTCTTATCTCTACGCGAAGCCTTATCTTGTACCGAAATTATGTGCCGCGTAATAACTGTCCACGTGGTAGGACTTATAAAACCCGAGGCCAGCAGTCCTCATAGACTCAAAACAAGCAGTGTTTAATAAACTAAAAGAAACTTAGCATTTTTATTTTATTTTTTTCATTCCCGGCCTTTTTAGTACAAACTTCAACTCAGCGAGGCGGAAATATGGATTCAGAAGCTGTATTAGCGCCAGGCGATGAACCTTATCCGCCAGCAGTACATAGAAAGTTTTCTCCAGACGGAAGCGCCTTGCGTTATGCTGGAAACACAACTGTTTGTCATATCCCAGCTGAATCGCCTCTGCTTGTCGGCCTATGGGATGTATACAACACAATCACCTCTCATCCTACTCTTTCGCAAAACTTTCGTCTTCTCCCACCTGATTCGTGGCACATGACGGTATTTGACGGCGTCCGTGAGGAAGAGTGCGAGCCGGGTATGTGGCCAGACGGCTTGGAGAAGTTACCACTGGATGAGTGCACGATGAACTTTTCTAGAACTGTGAGTAGTCTAGGCCTCACGTTGGAAGAGGAGGGTCTGGCGCCACCCTATAGAATGCGTGCTATTGGTTTTCAGATTGGTCAATTTGGTATGGCGCTGGATATTGTGGGGGCGACGGATGAAGAGGAAAGGCGCATGAGAAGGTTGCGAGACAGGCTCGCCGACTCCTTCGGGTTCCGCGCGCCTAATCATTTAACATACCGATTTCACGTCAGTATAGCGTATCTTATCCGGTGGATGGGAGACGAGGAGAAGCGTGAGTTTGACAAGGCTATTGCGCGCTTGTTGCCTAACATTACGATGGAATTTGAGCTCGGGGCTGTTGAATTTTGCATATTTGATACTATGCTTGCATACCCTAGGATGTTTTACTTAGGATAAAGAGAAGATTCAGCCGTAACGTGGTTCAATCCAAGACCTCACCGTGAGAAATTTGTGCAAAACAGAGGGAAGCCCGGCTCAACGGGTACCGGATCCAACGGATCTCGTCATGTTAGACAATCCGCAAATTGATCTGTCTTTCATCAGTACCAGCTCGGTCGATCGAGGCCTGGAGCAGAACATGACAGAGCTTTGCATCGAGTCGAATGTCGCATAGCATCTCACAGAGTATGATGCATTTCCTCTGTTACCGAAAAATTTCCTCACGGAATAGAAGCTAGCTTGTGTCTCCACAGTAGATCAGAGAAGGCCAGACTCGGTTTGCGGGGAGCTTGAGGCTGAATGAGGCTGAGGAAGGACTATTGAGGTCCAAGAGTACCAGTTGTCGGATACAACAGTTGATTGTCAAGATCGTCCTAGAATAAGAATTTTAAATGCGGCGGAATGGTTTAAGAGAACGCTCTCTGCACTCTCCTCGCTAAAATACGAGATGATATCTTTACAAGCCGAGGTGGGTATGTCATTGAAAGCTGCTCTTTTTGTAAGTACAGGGATCTTTGCTTCTGTGGATTATAGGGGACTCCAACTACAGATAGCGTCAAATCAAGCCAGCTGGCCAGTAGCACGCATACAGCCTTGAGCTTTCTATTATCTGTCGTCCGACAAGAAGAGTCTATGCAGGTAACATGAATCCTCACAGAACCACCCACACTCGATTCACAATCGATGTATACCATAAGCCTGCTGCAAGAGGCCATCGCTGCTTTCCCATCACCTCCTACAATACGTGCGCAACGTCCGTCGTCTGAAGTGAGCATTCTGATAGCTCAACATACGCCCATTTAAATGATAATATCAGCCTGTCAATCACCGTCCAGCTCATGAATCCCAAACTGCCCGGCATCATGTGGCTCAGCACAAGAGCGAGCAGCCTTTCATCATACCCGAGACCGTGACGCTGTTGCTGATACGTGCAACGATCGATAGCCATGAAAATAAATAGCATTAACGATAGACGCCGGGGACGAGACTGTGATTGACAAGTCGAGCGTGAGCCCGAGTGGCTGGACGAATCTTCCAAGGAGAAGTCAGGTATCACGCTTATTTCCTATCAATATGAACCGCCAACCGTCTAACCGAGAGATTTGGAGCTGGTATGCCGCTTGTCCTGCGACTGCATATATATCTAGCGCTCGCTGTGTACAGCGATATCAACGTTGAGTTTACTCCTTAATAGTTGCACTAAATGGTTATCCTGGAGAGGAGGAGAAGCTTAATTCTCTTCAGGAGAGAATCCATCAGCACCGTTGACCTGGTTCTCTGCAGATGAGCAGCGAACAGGAGATACTGGGCCCAGAAACAATCTATCCACAAGTTTCATGCTTTAAGTGGCTTGATCCCTGCAAATGCATAAGCTCAGGTTAGATCGGAACCGCGTTTCTCCCCCTCTCAGCTTCCATACCGCCATCTTCTACATTGTAGCAATAACGGGTCTCTTTCGCCCTGATACTCGTTGAACGCAGGTCTGTGTCATGCTGCCCGCATCTTATCTCCCTGGCGCCAGTTCAGCACACAACGAGTGCCTTGACACGTCCATCTTAACATCCTTCGAATAACTCCACAATGGCTCTCCCTCAGTGACTTCATATTTAGCTATCAATGTACATGGCGCCTGGGCTCTTTATGCTGCCACTGTTTCCTGCAAGGGTCACCATACGTTGCACCAACAGTCTCACTGAAAACATTTGACCGACTCATAATTATCCTTGTCAATGACCGTCCATCCGCTCCAACACTTGATCTAGAGTTCAAGGATGTGTTGCATGCACTTTTCAGTTCTATAGACTAGACCTTATTCCAATAGCACACGTCCCTGGCATCGCCTCACCTTAACGTATTCCCCGTCCGTGATTTTAGAATCTAAACGCTTGGTAATGCGAGATTAGTCTAACTTGCTAGCGAGCCACTCTTTTAGTCGATCTTATGTGCTGTTCCAAGTGACAGCCTGACTTGAGCAAAACATATGTATGCACTTCTATGATACTTAGCTCAGTTATTTATCTATGCGTATTAATATCTCAAAATAAGAAAGGGCCATTCCAACACGCTCCCTTGCCTTGATCCTGTCTCACTCTCTGTCTCAGTCAGGCTGCCACCCCAATTCTACACTCTGCCGTCATCTGAACTGAGCAGATCCAGACCTGTCGCTTCTACCGCAGTACTCTCACTAACTCCCTTCCTAAAGACCTGCTCTAATAGACCAGTGCTCAGAGACCGCATAACTCGCTCATGACGCTTCTCTTCCTCCGCTTTGAGTTTCTTCTGCCAGCGATCGATGTTTGTGGACGTCTTGCCCATGTTAAACCATCTCGCATCCATCAACCTCTGGTTGTTATGACATTTCCTTACCTCGCATTGCGCCTTTACTTTCGTTCCGATCGATGATTGGAGTAGCTCTTGGGATTCTCTGACAGGGGATTTGCATGGAAGCTTGCATGTTATCAGGCATTCTTTTGGCGAAACCTTGAGTTTCCTGCAAGAGGCCTTGTTGTTTGCCAACGGCGAGGGCTGTTTCGTCGAGTTTCTATTTGGCAATGTCTACTGCCGATTTCGCCCGGGTGATGATGGTGTCTAGATGCTTCCAGGGGTTGTTTTGTCGTGACAGTTCGGTTTCATGTTGGGAGAGATGTTGGCGCGCCTCACGTCTGGTCGCTCTCTACAAAGTATAATAGGTTAGTTAGTCTGTCCCTTGGGTGAATGGGTACTTGGAAAGCTTATATGGGGATCCTGTCAGAAGGTGAATTACGCTGGTTAGCTCGCTTGTTAAACAGTCAACCAAGGTTCCTTGTTATATCAAGGCGACGGCTGCCTCCCCTTCTTAACCTAGAAGTCAAGGCTCTTTAAACCCTCTGTTATGTGCCCCTTTGCTGTGCGTACCACGGATCCGCATTGTCAGACTCGCTGAAGGGTGCTTGGGTATTCATATACATCCACATCCATATCCGTCCCATTTGGGTGGTCCTAGTCCGCTAGGATGATCGACTTCGATGCTCGGTAGTGGATGATCCTTGTTTCGCTTTTGAGGCGGTTCATTGCCGGCTCTGGACGTCAGTGATCGCTTTTTTTTAGGTAACCAGGGCTTGCAAGACAAGTGTTGGTATGGTCATTGGTTGGTGGTACAGATGGCCTTGCAGACCTTGCTATCCACTCCAATATCAATTCCGCCCATAAGCAGGTCTCAATATCCTACCATCAGAAAATACTCGAGATATGGGGCTTCCTTCTCCAACGGACCTTCGCCGCCGTCAAGACCATGGCTAGAGTACGTGTCGTCACGACTCCCTTAGTGACCTCTGGCTCATCTGCCATTAATGACGCTGACACCGCCATTACGATCAGGTTCAGTGATCCGCTCAGTACATGATTAGGTCATTGTGTCTTCTGGCATCCCCTCGTTCGTCTTTCTCGACTCAAGAAACGCCAGTATGCTCAAATCTACGTCTTAATCTAGTCGCATTGCTCAGAAACCCTCCTCGACTCCGTCGCCAGCGGGTTAGAAATCATCCCAGATAGATTCTGGGCCCTGTAGGATTCACCGCGCAACAAGATCAGACAGGAACATGATGGTCAACCGTATCTTCTGACGATGATCCGGGCCACGCATATTTCTGGCTTCGTTCGTCTATGTTTGTTCAAACTTGTCTCTTTTACCATCTTTTTAACCACAGACCAAATCATAAAACTATCTGCCCTCAACAGCGGCCCTTTACTATCACTTGGCAAGCCGAGTTTTGTGATGCGATTGTGCAACAAGGAGTCACGTCGCAAGAGCTAAGAGCGCTCCCAGTTGCATAGTTAGGTTACTCGTGTTGCGACTTGTTCCCTTCATCGTGCTAAACCCCAGGCGCGTCTACATTTGTACACCTCCCACACGTCTTGTCCCATCAAGCCAACCTTCACTAGACTAACACTTCTCCAAAGTCTCTCAAGCACGCGACAGATCCCCGTTATCGTCCCTTTTCTAAGTCGTAAACAAATAGCGACGACCATCAGCTAACGTTCGTTCCCTCCCAAACGCTATGTCTCCCACTATGCCCGAGTCCGAGTCCAAGCCCAAATTCCTTGCCAAGTACGCCTCTTCCCTGAACGTTTTGGACATACTGACGAACGCTCTCTACAACGACATCTTCTTCTTCACCCCCGTCGATATCCTCTCCCCTCCAACGACCGATTCCGCTCCATCACCCGCTAATACACTATTCCATGTGCTTAAGCAAAGCTGACCAAGCTCTCAAGAATTAACCGAAACGTTGCCCACCTGAACCCGGTCTTTCATCTGTCCCACGATTACACCTCGATTCAATACGACCCACGCTTCTGTTACCGACTCGTTGAGCGGCCCAGCTGATGGTGACCAGGATTCGTCATCACGGGGATACAAGACTAGCAAGCGTTAGTCGGCCAAGAGCTGATACATACTGTCGCCAGTAAGCATGTTTTCCCTTTGGAGGTCGAGCACAGCATCGAATTCCGTGTTGCGTCAAGTTCATTACGGAGGGTACTTGGACCATCATGGAATATCGCGCCGCAGAAGATGCCGAGTAAAGACCTCTCACTTGTGCCCTGTCTGATGTTTTTGATACGCAGTCAGGAACTCTTCTTGATATTTAAGCTAAGCTTGTGATTGAAGCAGTCCAAACTGACCATGTCTTCTAGGTGGCTTGGGCAGTTGTGTTAGGCAGCTGATATACTGCCTGAACTGATTTGATAATAGTATTATTTTGAGTTGATAGACCCCCCCACTGCTGATGCTCACATCACGCGCCTCACACGCTTTCTTCGATCGCGTTGAAGATGGTAGCCTAACTGCTCTCAGCTAGTGACTGAATGACAGACATTGGACGACATGACATGAGGCTTTGCCTGACTTCCTCTGATTACGAGCCAAGTTTGAAGCAAAGGGCCATTACACAGAGCATGAACTTACCATGGAGTACGAGGATATGTCTTTGAGTTGGTCAGTGCGAGCAGCATATGAACTGTAGTGATGTGACTCACAATCCCTTTGACTTCTGACGCACTTGGTCATTTCCTGTCAGAGTTGTACGAAGAACTCATCATGCGTTTCCACAATTAGTCCACGGTAGTCATGTTCTTTCGAGGAGGATCAGATACCTCAATCCTGGTGCGTTGGACGACAAACATAGTACTTAGGGGGTCCTTGAGAACGGCCTTTTGCTTGATGCAACCCACCTGAATTGTCCAAGAAAGCGGAATCAAGACCAGCACCTGGCTAGCAACAGTTAGATCAAGCCTCTTGGTGCATAGCACCTATCATAGCGACGGGGAAGGGGTTCAATACCGATGTATTTGAAGGATTTGCCTGCGTGGAAGTTTCTCAGAGAGGGTTATTTGTCTTGGAGGAGTGTCAGTCTGGTGGAAATCTCTCCAGTGGATGATTCTGGTTGGAAAGGTAGGAAAGGAACCCTAGAAGCTAGAAAAGCATAGCATGGTCACAGACTGGAATGGTTGGGACTGGAAGCGGAATTCAAGCCAGAGCTGGGCACTGTTGTTAAAGATTAAGGCTGGTGTGGTGGAGAAGGCAGCATGGACGCAAGAGTCGTATCGCCATTATGCTCCTTTTCGTCAACTTGATTATGTGTATCGAGGAAGGACTTCATCTATCCAACCCATTCCACACATTGGCAGTCTATCGGTGTGAATATCGCGACTGAGACTTGCAATCAGACTGATATCTTTACTGATCCCAGCATGTAGGTTTCTTGGATTCTATATTAACGGCATTTTACCCACTCGGTGGCCAGGGTCCTAACACCCGACATAATACCCTCCATTACCTCGTAGTCTACAAACATGTCTGCAGATGCTATTGGTCTGAAAGATAACGACCGCGTACTCATCAAACCTTCAGTCGAAGAAACCACACAGTATTGCCTCCAAAAGCTACAGGCATTCACGGAGATGCCCTCACTGGCCTCGTGTTTGGCCATCTTGTCTGCCCAGTGACATTGCGTATTCCGCCACTGCGCTCCGACCACCTACGACACCCCAGTCTCTATAATTAACAGCAATATCTTGTTAAATAGTACAAATTCCGATAAAGGCTTTTTGAGTGATTTCAGAGTGATAATAAAAGGATAATAAAGCAAAAGAGTAATAGCTCTTAGCTTATAGTCTCCATGGCATTACTTATAAATCTTAGTAGAACTCTTTTGTGGCTTGAGACTTTCCAGCACATATATAGCCCCGAGATAATCCTAAAGTAAAGCTGTTATATTTCTTTATAGTGCGCCGGCTTGTCATCTGGATTAGTGTCCGCCAGAGGATTAATAGAAGTCTCCCCCTCTAAAATCACGCCAAGCTCAGAGAATAGCTATGTATGGGAACCATGAACGGCTCATCACGCTCACAGAAGCTGTAGCATGCTCACAAATTTCATTCTCAAGGCAATGGTTTCTAGGCTTAATGGAGAATCAGTGATTTACTAGGAATCTATTTATATACAGCTCGAAAAATGGGTATTGGGATTTTTATTTAAACAAGTTGGGTTAAGTAAATACTTTATTTCATTGGAACGCGCAGCGTTGTCAGATTGTCTTTCGGGAAACATTGACCTACCCTACTCCGTAGTGATACAGTCAAAGACAGATAACCCAATTCGATTTTCAGTGGAACTTTCGACTGGAGAGCGGATACAGGTAGCCTGCTAACCTGAATTAGGTAAGGTCAAGTCACCGCTCCTTGCTAGTTCATGTTAGGCTTTACTTATTCCTCTGTGGAGAATTGCCTCTCTGCAAAGTATCCATTAGCAACCTATTTTAAGAATTACACCAAGCTCGATTCATACTAGTTAGTCTTCCGGTGTCATTTGCCATTTCTTTGGCAAACTCCTTAGCGAGCTTCTTCAATGCATCGCTTCCTCTCTTCCTCACCTTCTCTATGCCCGAAACCTTGGGTTTGCTCTCGGCCAGTATCGGATCTAATGGCCCAGCCGCCTCGCATTGGCCTAATTGACCGAAATGCGCACCACTGTCATTTCATGCGACCTCAGCTGCTTTAACGTCGTTCTTTTTGATTAATACGCTCCAAGGCAGTGACGGGCATCATATCCTTTCTATTGGCAGTTTTCGCATTCCTCTTGAACGACATTCAACGTAGTGACTAGTGTCGTCTTCATCTCTTCCCAGCTCTATATTGTATCCCTGACAGGGTAGCTCTGAGGGGAATCTTGTGGCTGTCGTGCCGAGCCTGTCTGGATAACATGACTTGGTCAAAGATCGTGTTGGGTGTCGTTCTGAGCTGGTTCTGGGCATGCGACAGGTTTCTGGCCCTAAGACTTTGCATTTATTGTCCCATATGGACATGTATGTCATTACTGAGTTCCAAGGCTCTCTTCGATGCAGTGACTTCTGGAGCTATGGCGTTATTGCATGCCCCATGAGTCCTGCGTCGCTTCTGGTAGGAAGTGCCAGGGGAATTGATTTGTGCGATTCTTGAACAGCACTGCCGCTCTTCTTAAACGGCCCTCGGGGAGAGATTGGAAGAAGTCGTCGGTTTCCACCGTTGCTTCACTTGTCATGGTGACTGAGACAGTGACAAAGGAGTTAAGTCAGCTTGGTTGTGCATGAGTTGGGGACCTGGGAATGTTGTGAGCTCCTGTGTTGCGTGTTGTTGCTTTTTCTGACGCATTGGCCTTTGCGTATGTTTGCTTCTTTTAATTAATAGGCGGGAGTGTTGCTGAGGTATCCAGGTGTGGCAGACAGTGCGACTAATTTCCACTGGATGCACTTGAGCGGGGGTTTATATACATAAACAAGGCATAACTAAGTGCATTCGTGCATAACATACTACATACGCAAACGCATAGGTGGCAGAGTTGCGAGGCCGACTTAATCTCTCAGATAGAATTTTAAAGGATATAGCATGGTTTATTTATCCTACATATTGCTATGGTATGATCTTAAAGACTCGTTGTTGTCTATATATAGATAATATGTGTAGTATATAAAGGATTTTCAGTGAATTCCATGCAAGTTAACTTGAAGTAGCTTTCCAGCCCAACAATCTTTCCAGCAACTCAATTTCCAGCGACTGAATTCCCAGCAGCCCAAACCCCACAGCCTTTCCGCAGCAATTCACGTGTCTGGGAATCTACCATCCATATTCCAACTTCCCTACCAGTCCAGTCACTAGTGCCGTTTCCAGCATATCCCAAGCTTAATGTCTAAATGTGTCATTTTCCAGGAGATACCTCAAGATTTCCATAACAACAGACAGGACCTGGATACAGCATACAAAACCTTATGCTGTGGTATTAGGATTTTAGATAATATATCCAGTTGCTAGTTACATGAAACAATGTAAATAACAAACACAAGCAAGCCGCAATCTCCCAAGTAGCCTATTTTCGAATATTAAACGTGGGTCCCTTTGGCGTCTATTTTCCCTCTTATTGCTATGTCTGCGGTAGGCCGCTGTGCTCTGCAGATCATGCGCCCTGATAACCTGTTCGATATCTAGGGCTTATATCCTGAAACCAGATTGATTATCCAACACTGGAGTATGTCTATATCACAGACCAACCGCCATGGGTGTAGTCTGACAGGGATAAGTGAAAACTCAAGACCATTCACCTTTAGTTATCATCGTGGTGACAACTATTTCCTCCCCTCCCCCGCAGCGGAACTGTCAGCTTCCCGCCATTAACTCCCATTTCTCTGTCATTAAGGAGTGGAAAATGACCCAATTGCCCTTTTCATTCTGAAAGCTGGACATGGCATCTGGCATGTCAGGTCTCTGCATGATTAGCGTTCGCGCAAAACAAGATCCAGGTTTCCAGCGTCTCCTTTCAACCTGGTTATACCGTATTTATTTTCGCTTATAGATAGTGGCGATAGGTTGAGGAACTAATGAATAGGGCAACCATCTTTTCACCATATTGGAAAGGGATATCATAGATCGATTTCTATGCAGTGTACCATTTCTTGCGGTCCGAGTTGCTCACAATTGCTTGGACATGGACCCACGTCACAGAACAGAGGACATCAATCAAGTATAAACTGTTGTTGCACCACCAATAAACTGAAAAAAAGCAGGCTCAGACCCCAGCACACGGATACCTAACAGACCACCACTTGATGGCGTTGCCATAATGCTCAAGCTGCATCCCAAACGACATCCGTGACCAGGAGGGAGTGTCCTCCGCCCCCGAGAGACGATGGTCATCAGGACACGGATATTGAAGCACTAGCCGATACCAGTT